TTTTTTTTTTTTTGTAGCCAGGTGCATTTCCCTAGAATAATGTGTTTTTTAAGTCTTGCTTGGTCAGAAATATATGTTATTATTCATTAGCCTGCTCTGTTAGCATTATTCAAAACTTATGTATGCCTTAGTATCTTATTATAATTTGTAGGGCCTTCTAGAGGCCTTATTCCTAAGAGAAGAGAGATGGAGTCTGTTCAGTTAGCTCTTTTGAGAACATTTGGTAACTTGGTCTTCTTGGCATATACTATTTAACCCTCTTTCTAGTTAGTTGTTGTGTGACTGACTGTTAGTAAACTATTGGATGTTAGTAAACTAATGTTACACTATTGGTATATGTTAACCCCATTGCTGATCAGACCTTGTTCTTGTCATATATTGATAGTTCCTCTTTTCTGGTACTATTTCATCACTCACAACTCTTTTTATTTATGTTTTCTGAGAAGCAGACTCCAAAACAGGATTAAATGTATGATATTTATTGCCTGTGAGGGAACACAGAGGGTGAAGAGGCTAGAAGAATCATCAGACTACAATGCACGTCTGGCCCTTGTGAAGGAGAGAAGGAAGGAAAAATGGTTGGGTAGAAACATCTTAGACTGCAGCCCAGTTCTAGGAAAGTTCACCTAGGCCAGTGAAGAGATTTTAAGCCAAAGTTACCTATCAAAAGAGTTCTGTGTCTCCCAGGAATGGGCCTCAGCAGTATTCCTGCTCTGCTCAGTCGTTGTCTGGGCACAGCTCATGGGAAGGCGTGGCCCCAGGACACCGAGACGATAGATTCCAATGCTTGCTGCTGGGGCCTCGGTCAGGTACACTCTCCATAGCTGGAGGTCTGAGAGGCATATTCTAGTCTCTTGACTGCCACACCTACTTAAACAAATAGAGAAAAGTGCACCTTTTATAAAATACACACTTAATAGAAGAAACCTTGCATCCTCGTATATAATACTTCTTATAAAAATTAATTTTTTAACTAAACATTTTATTACGTTCACCTGTTATTACCACTAACTTCTCATATACTTGAAGTGAATTTTTGTCTTCCAAGTATCATCATGGTTTTATGGCCTTTCA